AGGAGGGAAGACTGGCACCAGGATGGGGAGCGGGCAAAGGGCTCAACAGGGACAAAGACCCACCAGAGAGTGCATTCTGTGGGGCTGGAGCAGGCGTGGCACAAAGGGTCCTGATTAGAAGCCGCCAGCCCCACATCCTCCAGGCCCCAACACTGGCAGCTCCCTCCTCCCCAACCTAACGGGACAGTCCTTACCTGGTTGGGGCACTGGACCTGGCGGTAGGCCTTGATCTCAGCCCTCCACTTGCAGAGCACCTCCTGGCTCACGGTGGGCAGCCCCGGCCGGGTATACTTCAGCTGGAAGGGAGAAGAACGAGAGGGCAGAGGCCAGGATGGGAGGCCGTGGGAGCAGAAACTGCTGCCCCCCACCCCCATTCTCCCTGACCCAGAGGTAGCGGCCCTCACTCGCACCTCTCTGTCCTGAATTGCCCTTCAAAAGCAGCCTTTAGACAATAATTCTTTACTTCAGCAAACACAAAGGATAAGCAAATGCAATCGAAAAGTGCAAAAGAAAGCAAGGAAGTCTTAATCCAGACACAAATTAAAGTCTCTTACAAGGTCCCAAAAGAAACACCAGTCTTCCATCAGACAACAGACGATGAACTAAGTTCTTAGCAGCAGACACAAAGCACATTCCATTGGAGTGAAAACATCAATATCAGGGTTGTTGTTACCAGTGAAAGCTGTCTACTCCTGCCTCTGATTTATAGCCCTGAATTCCCCACGCAGGAGGAGGTAGGGTGTCTCCCAATTAGCTCAGCGTTTTTAGAAGCTGTTCTCTTTCCGTCTCTCTAGAAATGTGGGCACTTTCAATCCCTCATTGTCTGATTCTTCTTCTCCCTCCAATTCCTGAGCACTTCTCTGCTCCCCTTCCTTTTCCGAAGATGAGGAATCTCCCACAAAGGATGGAAGGGCCGCTCTGCACAAGCTCTAGGGACATGTGACTAGCGGTCACCCTGCTGCACTTCAAGGCTGGGAATCACTTCTGTACTTAACACACAATCCAATTCAAGATAAAATAACAAAGCAGTTCATTGAAGAATATATATGAAAAGCAATTTAGCAAAATAGTATAAAAATCCATGTACAAAAACCAGGAATAATCCTCAGAGTTCAAAATACATAAAATGAATAAAAAACCAGGGATACAAAAGCAGGTAAATTCCAAACATTCAACACGGGAACAAGAAACATGGAACAAGGAAGCATGAACACAAGGAAATCTGGAATTAAAAATCCCCTGGAAGACTTGACTAGGCTCCAAAACCAACGTCATCTGGAAGTGAGGGAATACTCTGCTGGCCTTTCTGATATAGACAAAAAACCATGCCGTTGCCGTTCCAAAACTGATAAGGGCTTCTTCGTTAATAGGCGAGCTGACCTTTGCACTGCTTCAAGAGATACCCTATGTCGACAGAACATTAATCTCCTATCTAACTGTCCCTCATTGGCTTGTCCACCTGGAATAATATCTTCCTCCCCTGAGCTCATTTCTGCCTCTGACCTTGCATCTCTAGGGAACCACTTAGACAGAGAGCTCTCGTTCTCAAGGCTTAAAATCTCCTGATTCTCTTGCTCATCTGCAGGCCCAGAATCCCCTCTGTCATCATCAGATTGCCTAATAGGCCCAGGATCCCCAGTGAGAGCAGGAACAGGCACAATCGAAGTCTGGACTACAAGGCACCCATTCCTTCCTCATTCCAGGTGAATCTTTCCTGCCTTCCTTCCTGAGCGCCCTGCCTCTGCCCCATACCTTCCGGTCGTCGGGGACGAGATCCTGGAGGACCTTCCTCTTGGGCCACTCCTTGGCCAGCTCCACGTGGGCCAGTTCGTGCAGGTAGTAGGCTGCCACCTTGGCCGACTTCCTCTGGAGCCGCCGCCCGCCGCTGGACTCTGACCCAGCGTCCTTCTGGGCCCCTGCCTGGTTGTCTTCACGGTGGAAGGGGGCCTGAAGGGAAGGATGGCAGAGGGGAGGGTTGGGGGGCTCTCCTTCCCAGGACTGCTTTTGGCACCAAATGCCCACCATCTTGTGTCGGGGAGTAAGTGAGTGAGGGACGGCCCTGGGCTGCTGTGACTGCATTTTCCTGCCTGGCAGAAGGTCTCTTCCTCCCCTGGGATCCCATGACTCACCGGCCCATGTTCGGACTTCAGGTGGTAGACCAGGCCGGCCTTGGAGCGGTAGGCCTTGCCACAGTGCGGGCAGCGGGCAACCAGCGTCTCCAGCTCCTCCGCCGCCTTCCCGCACTTCTGCGTGTGGTAGAGGTACCCCACAATGCTGGTGAAGCTCCCAGAGCAGCCCTGTGGATGAGGAGGAGGAAGAGGAAGGCTCACCCTTGGGCCCTGGGCAAGCGCAGAGGGGAGGGAAGAGCCCGGCCAAACACCTCCCCTCAACACACACACACAGCCTCCCTGCCCAAGAGGCTCAGAAGCACCGGAGGACGCAGTGGCAGCTGGGAAACCAGCCGGTGGAAGGGAGTCTCATGATGGCCACAGAGACCTCCTCGGTCTTTCCAGCCAGGGGTTCTATCCATTCATAAAACCCCCTGTCTTGCAGAAGTGAGTAAAACACAGTTGTTGTGGACTTCCACTTGAGCAACAAACACACACAGACTTTTGTCCTTTCCCAAATAAGCAGGAAGGCCTTTCTTTCTACTTTCTTGTAGCAGTATGCAAAGTATATACAGTGGGTGGCTGTAAGTTTTTTGGGCTGTCTGGCCATGTTCCAAAAGCATTCTCTCGTGATGTTTCACCTTCATCTGCGGCAGGCATCCTCAGAGGTTGTGAGGTCTGCTGGAAACTAGGCAAGTGAGGTTTATACATCTGTGGAATAATGGCCCACGTGGGAGAAAGAACTCTTGTCTGTTGCAGGGAGGTGTGAATGTTTCCATTAGCCAATTAGATGCAAATGAAACGTCAGGACAGCATGCTTCTGGAACATGGCCAGACAGCCCAGAAAACTCACAGCAACCCAGTGATTCTGGCCATGAAAGCATTCGACAACACAAAGTATATAAAATTATGCAAACTTTACAGCTACTCCTTCCTCACTACTACTCAAAGCAGCAATTATTTATTTATTATTCATTTATTTAGAACTTTTGTATACCGGTCTTCTCACCTCCATAGAGGGACTCAGGCCGGTTTCCAACAATAGTATACAAACAATCGTTTAAAAACATCACATTCCGTATTACACTAAGACATTAAAATACCAAAAATACAATCATATAATTACAATGGCCAAGTCATCACCATAAAATCGCTGTTCATCACCATCCATCCACGTAGCCACAAGTTATTGGCTCACTTCTCCAACAGACGCGACAAAACACCATCCGTCCCTCAACAACTCCCACCAACCGTCATCAATCTTAGTATAACTACAACCTATATACTACTCCCATTGCATTAACCACCACACCCTAATTACAGTGGCTGAACTCTTTTACAGGTGGTTAGCCCAGAGGCACTGACTCTGCTATCACTTAGGGCCTCCTCGAAGACTGAGTAAATACAGTTGGGCATTCCCTGGGAAACATTTCTTGTAAATAATAATAATACTACTATTTTTATACCCCCATCATCTCCCCGGAGGGACTTGGGGCAGCTTACAAGGGGATGAGCCCAGAAATACAGATTAAAACACACCCAATAAAATCAACATCAGAAAAAAACATTGCATCACAGTACACATTTTAAAAACAGTATACAGGCTGAAAGATTAACTGTTGTTGAGAACAAGAGAGAAAGCCTTCTTAGTGGTGGCCCCCCTGCTAGACAGAGCCCAGAGAAAGTGCAAAATGGGTTTCAATTCAGTTTGGGTCGCAGCTGGGAGGGTAACGTCCTTAGGCATTTACAGTGACAGGATTACAGGTGGGAGGGCCAACAAAAGTGCCAACGCCTATGGTGAGATTGATCCAATTCTCTGCTGACTGCCTAATCAAATGCACAGAGATGAACAGCCAGGTTTTTAACTCCATGTGGAAAATGGGGAGGGTAGGCACCAATCTGATCTCTTTGGGTAGCGAGTTCCAGAGTCGGGGGGGCCACCACCGAGAAGGCCCTCTCTCTCGTTCTCACCAGCCACACTTGAGACAGCGGTGCAAGCAAGAGAAGAGCATCCCCAGATGTTCTTAAAGTATGTGCTGGTTCATAGGGGAAGATGTGATGTCGAAGATAGACAGGTCCTGAACCATTTAGGGCTTTGTAGGTAATCACCTGCGCCTTGAATTGGGACCAGAAATTTATTGGCAACCAGTGGAGTTGTTTGAATGGGGGGCGGGGGGGGGGGGGGAAACTTGAAAAAACTAAGGTTCTGTTCCAGCAGACACCAGCCAACCCCTCTCCAATGCCAGAGATACAGCTTCTTGGGAAGACAGGCGGACAAACGTCAATGTGCTGGAAGAAGCAAAGACCACCAGCATTGAAGCGATGGTCCTCCGCCATCAACTCCGCTGGACCGGCCATGTTGTCCGGATGCCCGACCACCGTCTCCCAAAGCAGTTGCTCTACTCTGAACTTAAGAACGGAAAATGGAATGTTGGTGGGCAGGAAAAGAGATTTAAAGATCAGCCTAAAACACTGCCTGAGCTCTGCGAGTGCAGCAATTTTTCGGAATGAAGCAGAGAGTGTTTGAGGACCGGGACATCCGTGGGATACCAAGGTGCTTGTTTATAAAGCTATTGTCCTCCCAACCCTTCTATACGCCTGCAGGACATGGACTGTCTACAGATGTCACATGCAACTCCTGGAACGATTCCATCAGTGCTGCCTCCGGGAAATCCTGCAAATCTCTTGGGAAGACAGGCGGACAAACGTCAGTGTGCTGGAAGAAGCAAAGACCACCAGCATTGAAGCGATGGTCCTCCGCCATCAACTCCGCTGGACCGGCCACGTTGTCCGGATGCCCGACCACCGTCTCCCAAAGCAGTTGCTCTACTCCAAACTCAAGAACGGAAAATGGAATGTTGGTGGACAGGAAAAGAGATTGAAAGATGGGCTCAAAGCCAACCTTAAAAACTCTGGCATAGACACTGAGAACTGGGAAGCCCTGGCCCTTGAGCGCTCCAGCTGGAGGTCAGCTGTGACCAGCAGTGCTGCAGAATTTGAAGAGGCACGAATGGAGGGCGAAAGGGAGAAGCGTGCCAAGAGGAAGGCGCGTCAAGCCAACCCCGACTGAGACCGCCTTCCACTTGGAAACCGATGCCCTCACTGTGGAAGAAGATGCAGAGCAAGAATAGGGCTCCACAGCCACATACGGACCCACAAGAACACTGGAAGACAATCATCCTCGGAAAATGAGGGATCGCCTAAGTCAAAAGTAAATGGCTAATCTTTCCACCCCAAAAGAACTGCTTTCCAACATTGCAATGCTTTTAACATGAAATAAATAAACTTAGAAAATGCCAGGGAATTTCCAAATCCTGACATTTTCCTGCAAGGAGGCCTTCCTGCTAGAGGTCGTCCCCCTCCCACCCGGCCCCCTCCTGGTCCTGGCTCACCTCCCGGGTGCACTTGAGCTTTCCTAGGCGCTTGAGCACTTGCCGCAGCCGCTCCCGCTGGCTCTGCTTGTCCTGCGCCTCCGTCTCCTTCCCCGTCAGCTGCAAAAGGAGCAGAGAAAAAACCCATCACACAGACACTGGGGCAGGGCATAGTTATCCCTATTCTAATATAACACAATCACCTAAAAGATCATTAAGTTGCCTGATGATTCTCTCATATTAAACACCCACAGCCCTTGCGCTGTGCTACTCTGCTGCCTGGTATGCATGCCCAGTGTGGAACACATCTCACCACGCTCAAACAGTGGATGTGGCTCTGAATGAGACATTCCTCATTATCACGAGGTGTCTGCGCCCTACACCACTGGAGATATTACACTGCCTAGCCGGCATTGCACCACCTGACATCCGCCGGGAAGTAGCAGCCAATAGTGAAAGGACCAAAGCAGTGACATCTCCAGCTCATCCCCTGTTTGGGTATCAGCCAGCACGTCAACGACTTAAATCTAGAAATAGATCTACAGAGACACTCACTGGAACACTTCAGCAAGCGAGAGTCCAAAAGTGGCAGGCTCAAACCCAGAACTTATACCAAATGAGGGACTCCTCCCTGGGCACACAGAAAACTGGGCGACTTGGAAGGCGCTGAACAGACTGCACTCTGGCACCACGAGATGCAGAGCCAACCTCAAGAAATGGGGCCACAAAGTGGAATCCACGACATACGAGTGCGGAGAAGAGCAAACCACAGACCACCTGCTGCAATGCACCCTGAGCCCTGCCACATGCACAATGGAGGACCTTCTTGCAGCAACACCAGAGGCACTCCAAGGGGCCAGAGACTGCTCAAAGGACATTTAAAATTATTATTATTATTATTATTATATCATCCAAACTCACAATTTTTGTATTTTGTCTGTTTGTTTGCTTTGTTCTGTTAGAAATGTAATATAATTGACCTCTTGCCCTGACACAATAAATACAAATAATAAATAAATAAATAAAATAAACACCCTGAAAGGTCTAAACCTGAGACTGCCTGGTGGTTTTTCAGCTTCATGCCTTCAAGAAGTTCCTTGCAAGGTCAAAGCAGCTGAGATGACGGGGGATTTACCTCAACTTTCCTGACAGACCATTCCTTCAAGGCTCCTCCCAAATGCTCAGAGGCCTCCCCGCCAGCTCAGGAGAAGGGCCCTACCGGTTCCAGCGGCCTCCTGGGCCACACCAGTGATCTCCTTACCAGGCTGTTGTGGTCCGCCATGAGGTGGTACTTCATCCCGGCCAGAGAGCGCAGCTGCTTCCCACAGTGGTGGCAGGTGAACACCTCCTGGGAGCAGAGAGGGAGACACAGGCGTCCAGGGAGAGTGACCAGGCTGCCCGTGGGGCCCGAGGCCGGCCAGGCCCATTGCTGAGGCCTCCCTTGGAGGCTCAAGTGGGGGCAGCACAAGGGAGCAGTGGGGGAAGGAGACCAGCTGGGACAAGGGGAGCAGAGAGCAAGCCTTTCCTTTCCTTCCCTCTTCTCTTCGTTGCATTTCCTGCAGTGAGATGGGAGGATGCCACGGAGCCCACCACCTCCCTGCCAGCCCTGGGATCCTGGTAGTGGGATCAGGGTCCCTCTGGGCACTGAGCAAGACCCCCCAAAAGTGGGGGCCTTGCAGGGGGTTTCCCAGAAGTGCCTCCCCAGCCTCTGTGTGGGAGGAGACCTTGCTGTTGGAGGCTTGTGGCACCTCACCTGCTGGCAGTTGGCCATGTGCTTCCGCAGCCCCTCCACCGTCTTCCTGGTGGCCGCTCTGCAGATGGGGCAGGTGACCCGGCCCTTGCCCAGGATGGCCAGCTGCCACTGCTCTTCCAGGCTCCCTGACGGATGGACAGACGGATGGATGGAAGGAAGGAAGGAAGACCAGCGGTAGCAGAAGAGAGCTTATCTTAAGGTCACTTAACCACAGCCTCAACATAAACATTTCAGCACAGCATTTTCATTCTCAGTGGCATCCATATTTGCTACACAAGAATTACATTTAAAACTAATACACATAATACATATGATACCTCAACAAATCCTGACAGTAAATGCATGTGCGTCAGAGGGAGAGGGGCAGGGGGCCTTGCCATTCCTGAGGAGGGGAGGCAACCCCGACGACATAAATATTTCCATTTAAAGGTCAAGGTTGTGGAGAACGTGGGGAGAGATCCCTGAAAGTTTATAAAACACTAGCTGCCCCCCTGCCAGGCATTGCTGTGGCCCAGTCTGGTGATCTAGAGTATAAAGTAATGAGAAAGTGTTGGTTTCCAATATATGTGATGTCTTTCTGCTTGTGGGTCAACAGTATTTCTTGTCAGTGTTGATGTGGAGAGTGTCTGGTTTGCCTACTTTGGAACATGCAACACATATTTGTCCTTCTTTAGGGGTCCCTTTCAAATCTATGATACTATATCTCTCTGTGTGTGAATCATATCTATCTATCTATCTATCTATCTATCTATCTATCTATCTATCTATCTATATCTATGACTGGATGGCTCTTTGTCAGGAGGGCTTTGATTACGTTTTCTTGTCCTGGTAAAGGTAGTTGGACTGGATGGCCTTCAGTATTTTCTGATGGTCATGGGGGTTCTGTGTGGGAAGTTTGCCCCAATTCCATTGTTGGTGGTGTTCAGAAAGCTGGCAGGGGATAGGGAAAAGGGGATAGGGAAAAGGCAGAACTACTTAATGCCTTCTTTTTTTCCTCGGTCTTCTCACAAAAAGAGAGTCTTCAACCTCAGCAAGATGGAGTGGATGAGGGATTGGAGGACATCCAACCCCAAATTGGGAAAGAAGTCGTCCAGGAATACCTGGCCGCTCTTAATGAGTTCAAGTCCCCTTTCAGGGCCAGATCAACTACACCCCAGAGTATTGAAGGAACTAGCGGAAGTCATTTCGGAACCATTGGCAACCATCTTTGAGAGTTCTTGGAGAACGGGAGAAGTTCCAGCAGATTGGAGGAGGGCCAATGTGGTCCCAATATTCAAGAAGGGAAAAAAGGATGACCCAAACAACTACCGTCCGGTCAGCCTCACGTCGATACCGGGCAAGATTCTGGAAAAGATTGTTAAGGAAGCGGTCTGCAAACACTTAGAAACAAATGCGGTCATCGCTAATAGTCAACATGGATTTATCAAAAACAAGTCATGCCAGACTAATCTGATCTCTTTCTTCGATAGAGCTACAAGCTGGGTAGATGCGGGGAATGCCGTGGATGGAGCGTACCTGGATTTCAGGAAGGCCTTCTTTGACAAGGTCCCCCATGACCTTCTGGCAAGGAACTAGTCCAATGTGGGCGAGGCAAAACTACGGTGAGGTGGATCTGTAATTGGTTAAGTGGACGAACACAGAGAGTGCTCACTAATGCTTCCTCTTCATCTTGGAAAGAAGTGACGAGTGGAGTGCCCGCAGGGTTCCGTCCAGGGCCCGGTCCTGTTCAACATCTTTATTAATGACTTAGATGAAGGGCTAGAAGGCAGGATCATCAAGTTTGCAGACGACACCAAATTGGGAGGGAGAGCCAAGATACTCCAGAGGACAGGAGCAGGATTCAAAACGATCTTGACAGATTAGAGAGATGATGGGCCCAAAACTAACAAAATGAAGTTCAACAGTGACAAATGCAAGATACTCCACTTTGGCAGAAAAAACGAAATGCAAAGATACAGAATGGGGGACGCCTGGCTCGAGAGCAGTACGTGTGAAAAAGATCTTGGAGTCCTCGTGGACAACAAATTAAACATGAGCCAACAATGTGATGTGGCGGCAAAAAAAGCCAATGGGATTTTGGCCTGCATCAAGAGGAGCATAGTGTCTAGATCTAAGGAAGTAATGCTACCCCTCTATTCTGCTTTGGTTAGACCACACTGGAATATTGTGTCCAATTCTGGGCACCACAATTCAAGAGAGATATTGACAAGCTGGAATGTGTCCAGAGGAGGGCGACTAAAATGATCAAGGGTCTGGAGAACAAGCCCTATGAGTAGCGGCTTAGGGAACTGGGCATGTTTAGCCTGAAGAAGAGAAGGCTGAGAGGAGATATGATAGCCATGTATAAATATGTGAGAGGAAGCCACAGGGAGGAGGGAGCAAGCTTGTTTTCCGCTTCCTTGGAGACTAGGATGCGGAACAATGGCTTCAAACTACAAGAGAGGAGATTCCATCTGAACATGAGGAAGAACTTCCTGACTGTGAGAGCCGTTCAGCAGTGGAACTCTCTGCCCCGGAGTGTGGTGGAGGATCCTTCTTTGGAAGCTTTTAAGCAGAGGCTGGATGGCCATCTGTCAGGGGTGATTTGAATGCAATATTCCTGCTTCTTGGCAGGGGGTTGGACTGGATGGCCCATGAGGTCTCTTCCAACTCTTTGATTCTATGATTCTATGATCTCTGTATCTGTAACCCATTGGCCTACTCGTGTGTGAGTGTCTATCTCTGTGTATATACTGAAATCAGGCCTGTCAGTTGGACTGGATGGCCTTAAGTATTTTCTAGGGTCATGGGGGTTCTGTGTGGGAAGTTTGGCCAATTCCATCATTGGTGGGGTTTCAGAATGCTCTTTGATTGTAGGTGAACTATAAATCCCTGTAACTACAACTCACAAATGTCAAGGTCTATTTCCCCCAAACTCCATCTGTACTCATATTTGAGTATTCGTGCCAAGTTTGGTCCAGATCCATCATTGTTTGAGTCTCTGTAGGTGAACTACAACTCCCAAACTCAAGGTCAATGCCCACCAAACCCTTCCAGTGTTTTCTGTTGGTCATGGGAGTTCTGTGTGCCAAGTTTGGTTCAATTCCATTATTGGTGGAGTTCAGAATGCTCTTTGATTGTAGGTGAACTATAAATCCCAGCAACTACAACTCCCAAATGACAAAATCATAATTTTTTGAGTGATGGTCACTCCTTGTGTTGTGAGACATTTTGTTGCCAAATTTGGTGTGATTTCGTTCATTGGTTCTTTTGTTTTTAAGGTACTCGTTACGCACAGAGCATTTAGATAGATAGATAGATAGATAAGGTATTTTGACCCAACGGCGTCAGGTCAAAGTGTGGCGGAAGAGGAAGGCAGCACAGCCAACAGAGGGGATTCCTTGCCACTGACAGCAATGGTGCCAACCGACCTGGGCAGATTCCAGTCTCAAAGACTAAATCTGTTTCAGAGCAGGAGGGGTGCTGTATGTAGAATGACACACCTGGGAAAAGGTATTTGGGGCTTCGTACCTGCCCCACGCAGGGCTCCTCCAGCAAAGGAAGCCACCAAATGTGAAGGGGAAAGTGAGTCCAGCTGGGGGGAGTGTCACAGTGATGCTTGAGTGGCACTTTTGCCAGGGCCCTACCCCCACCCCCCACCCCACCTGCAAGGTCTGCCTCACCTGGTGGGTAGGGAGGCGGCTCCCTCTTCCGGCGTCGGCCCTTGGGCTCTGGGGGCGCCTGCCTCCCTGCCGGGACCTGTTTCACTGCAAGAGAAGAGAGAGGGAAGGTCATTGGGTTGTTGTAGGTTTTGCCGGGCTATATGGCCATGTTCTAGAAGCATTCTCTCCTGACGTTTCGCCTGCATTTATGGCAAGCATCCTCAGAGGTAGTGAGGTCTATTGGAAGTAGGAAAATGGGTTTATATATCTGTGGAATGACCAGGGTGGGACAAAGGACTCTTGTCTGCTGGAGCTAGGTGTGAATGTTTCAACTAACCACCTTGATTAGCATATAATGGTTTGGAAGTGCCTGGGGGGAATATTTTGTTGAGAGTGATTAGATGTGCCTGACTGTTTACTCTCTGTATTGTCGAAGGCTTTCATGGCTGGAATCACTAGGTTCTTGTGGGTTTTTTCGGGCTATAGAGCCATGTTCTAGAGGCATTTCTCCTGACGTTTCGCCTGCATCTATGGCAAGCATCCTCAGAGGTTTACTCTCTGTTGTTTTGCTGATGTAATTTTTGAGTTTTTTAATACTGGTAGCCAGATTTTGTTCATTTTCATGGTTTCCTCCTTTCTGTTAAAATTGTCTACATGCTGTGGACAATTCCCTGTGAATTTCTGTTGAAATTGTCCACAAGGAAGGTCATGTTGGGCCTCGGGGCTGCCCAAAGTCCCTAGCATCTCTGTTTCAGTCAGGCACTAGAAGCCAGGAGATCAAAATGCAAAGGATTCGTTTGGGCCAGAACAAAGCTATTGGGTGCGCAACAGGAAAAATGGAGCCACAAGGCTGAGATGCAACTTGGCCTCTTAATAGTAAAGGTTGCTAAACATGTCCGCGCATGCCTTCTCATTCACACTTCTGTGCTCCTTTGTCCTTCTCTCTGTACCTCTCATCTATCTTCATTCCAGCCATAATAATAATAATAATAATAATAATAATAATAATAACTAGCTGTACACGCCACACGTTGCTGTGGCCAACCTTCCCTCCCTCTTTCTCTCCTTTTCCTCCTTCCTTCCTTCCCTATTCTTCTTTCCTTCTCTCCTTTCTTTCCTCTCTACCTCTTTCTTCCTCCCTTTTTCTTTCCCTTCCCTCTCTCCTTTCTTCCTTCTCTACCTCTTTCACTTCTTCCTTTCATCCCTTTCCTTTTTTCTTTCCTTCTCTCCTTTCTTCCCTCTCTACTCCTTACTTTTCTTCTCCTCTTTCTCTCCTTTCTTCCTTCTCTACCTCTTTCCTTCCTTCCGTCGCAGTTTGCTTCCATCCTTCCTTCTGTCTTTCCTTCTTTTCTTCCCCCCTCTTTCTCTTTCTTCCTTCGCTCACCCTTTCCTTGTTTCTTTCCTTCTCTCCTTCATTCCTTCTCTATCCCTTTCTTTCCTTTTCTTTTCTCTTTCTCTCCTTCCTCCTTCTCCCTTTCTCCTTCCTTCCTTTTGCTTCCTCCTTCTCTTTCCTCTCCTTTCTTCCTTCTCTACCTCTTTCTCTCTTCCTTCCTCCCCTTTCCTTCTTTCTTTCCTCTCCTTCCTTCTTTCTCTACCCTTCTTTCCTTCCCCCTTTCCTCTTTCTCTCCTTTCTTCCTTCTCTACCCTTTCCTTCCTTCCTGCTTTTCTTCCATCTTCCTTCTTCTTTCCTTTTTTCCCCCTCTTTCTTCTTCCTTCTCCTTTCTTGTTCTTCTCTCCTTCTTCCTTCTTCTATCCCTTCTTTTTTCTTTTCTCTCTCCTTTCTTCCCTCCCTCCCTCTTTCCTTCCTTCGCTGTTTGCTTCCATCCTTCCTTCTGTCTTTCCTTCCTTCCCTCCCTCTTTCTTTCTTCTCTACCTCTTTCCCTTCTTCCTTCGCTCACCCTTTCCTTTTTCTTTCCTTCTCTCCTTCCTTCCTTCTCTACCCTTTCTTTCCTTCCCCCTTTTCTTTTCCTCTTTCTCTCCTTTCTTCCCTCCCTCCCTCTTTCCTTCCTTCGCTGTTTGCTTCCATCCTTCCTTCTGTCTTTCCTTCCTTCCCTCCCTCTTTCTTTCTTCTCTACCTCTTTCCCTTCTTCCTTCACTCACCCTTTCCTTTTTTCTTTCCTTCTCTCCTTCCTTCCTTCTCTACCCCTTTCTTTCCTTCCCCCTTTTCTTTTCCTCTTTCTCTCCTTTCTTCCTTCTCTACCTCTTTCCTTCCTTCCTTTGCTTTTTGCTTCCATCCTTCCTTCTGTCTTTCCTTCCCTCCCTCTTTCTTTCTTTCTCTCTTTCCTTCCTTTCCTTTTTTCTTTCCTTCTCTCCTTCCTTCCTTCTCTACCCCTTTCTTTCCTTCCCCCTTTTCTTTTCCTCTTTCTCTCCTTTCTTCCCTCCCTCCCTCTTTCCTTCCTTCGCTGTTTGCTTCCATCCTTCCTTCTGTCTTTCCTTCCTTCCCTCCCTCTTTCTTTCTTCTCTACCTCTTTTCCTTCTTCCTTCACTCACCCTTCCTTTTTTCTTTCCTTCTCTCCTTCCTTCCTTCTCTACCCCTTTCTTTCCTTTCCCTTTTTCTTTTCCTCTTTCTCTCTCCTTCTCTACCTCTTTCCTTCCTTTCCTTTTTTTCTTTCTTTCCTTCCTTCCTTCTCTACCCCTTTCTTTCCTTTTTCTTTTCCTCTTTCTCTTTCCTTCTCTACCTCTTTCCTTCTTTTTTTCTTTCCTTCTCTCTTTCCTTCCTTCTCTGTCCCTTTCTTTCCTTCTTTTCCTTTTCTCCTTTCTTCCTTCCTACCTCTTCCTTGCTTTCTTCCATCCTTCCTTCTTCTTCCTTCCTTCCTTCCCTCCCTCTTTCATTTCTTTCTCCCTTTTCCTTCTTCCTTCTCTCTTTCCTTTTCTTTCTCTCTCCTTCCTCTTCTCTCCTTCTTTCTCCCTTTTCTTTTCCTCTTTCTCTCCTTTCTTCCTTCTCTCTCTCTCAAGACCTGGCTCTGCCGTTGCGCTTTCGGAGAGTAGTCACATAATCTTATGCTATTACTCCCTCAACGTTCTTGTCCTAGGAGTACACCCCCCGCCCCCGTACGAAGGTCTGTCTATCACCCTGTCTCTATGATTTCTCCCTTACAAATAATTCTGCTCCTTTATCTCACCCTGAGTTTTTAAATCATTGTATGTACATGCGGCCCGCTCACTGTCATTATGTTTGGTTTACTGCTTTTTCTCTCTCTTTATGTTTTGTGTATATTGTTTATATGCTTATATGTTTTATATTTTAATGTTATGTTGTTTATTTTATTGCAATTTGTATCTTGTTTTATTCTATTTTGTTGTTCAGGCTTGGCCTCATGTTAGCTGCCCTGAGTCCCCATTGGGGAGATGTTGGCGGGGTATAAATAAAGATTATTATAATTATGTTAGCTGCCCCAAGTCCCCATAGGGGAGATGGTGGTGGAGTATAAATAAAGTTTTTTAAATTATTATTATTATGTTAGCCGCCCCGAGTCCACATTGGGGAGATGGTGGCGGGGTATAAATAAAGATGGTGATGATTATGTTAGCTGCCCCGAATCCCCATTGGGGAGATGGTGGTGGGGTATAAATAAAGTTAATGATTATTACTATTATGTTAGCCGTCCCGAGTCCCCATTGGGGAGATGGTGACGGGGTATAAATCAAGATTATTACTATTACTATTATTATTATTATGTTAGCCACCCCGAGTCCCCTTTGGGGAGATGGCGGTGGGGTATAAATAAAGATTATTTATATTATTATGTTAGCCACCCCGAGTCCCCATTGGGGAGATGGTGGTGGGGTATAAATAAAGATGATGATGATGATTATGTTAACCGTCCCGAGTCCCCATTGGGGAGATGGTGGCAGGGTATAAATAATAATAATAATAATTATTATTATTATTATTATGTTAGCAACCCCGAGTCCCCATTGGAGAGATGGTGGCGGTGTATAAATAAAGGGATGAAGTAAGGAAAGAGAGAGATGAATGAAGTAAGGAAGGGAGAAGAAAGGAAGAGATGAATGAAGTAAGGAAAGAATAAAGAAAGGAAGAGATGAATGAAGTAAGGAAGGGAGAAGAAAGGAAGAGATGAAGGAAGGAAGGAAGGAAGGAAGGAAGGAAGGAGGAGATTAAGGAAGGAAGGGATGAAGGAAGGAAGGAAAGAATAAAGAAAGGAAGAGGTGAATGAAGTAAGGAAAGAATAAAGAAAGGAAGAGATGAATGAAGTAAGGAAGGGAGAAGAAAGGAAGAGATGAATGAAGTAAGGAAAGAATAAAGAAAGGAAGAGATGAATGAAGTAAGGAAGGGAGAAGAAAGGAAGAGATGAATGAAGTAAGGAAAGAATAAAGAAAGGAAGAGAGGAAGGAAGGGATGAAGGAAGAAAGGAAGAGATGGTGGTAGGAAGGAAGGAAGGAAGGTGGCGGGATATAAATAATGATGATGATGATGATTATTACCTATTAGGATTTTTTTATTGTTTTACTGTCCCCCCCCCCAATAAACTGTTTACTTCTATGTTTGGCTTCCTGGTGAGTGCTTGAGCCCTAGTTCAAGCCCAAAAGATGGTTGAACCCCAGAACAAGGTGCAACCCCAGAACATTCTTTCCTTCCTTTCCTTCATCTTTTCCTTTCTTCATCCCTTCCGTCCTCTCTTCCTTCCTTCGTCCCTTCCTTCCTTTCTTCCTGCTTTCCTCTCTTCCTTCTTTCTGTCATCTTCCTTTCTTCCTTCCTTCATCCCTTCCCTCATCTTTTCCTTTCTTCATCCCTTCCTTCTTCTTCCTTACTTCCTTCATCCCTTCCTTCCTACCTTCCTTAATCCTTCCTTCATCCCTCCCTCCCTTCCTTCTTTCCTTCTTTTCCTTTCCACATCTCTTCCTTTCTTCCTTCATCGCTTCCTTCTTCTCCTTCCTTCCTTCCTTCTTCTTCCTCTCCTTCCCTTCCTTCATCTTCCTTTTTCTTCATCCCTTCCTTAATCGCTTCCTTTCTTCATCCTTTCCTTCCTTTCTTCCTACCTTCATCTCTTCCTTCCTTCGTTTCTTCCTTCATCCCTCCTTCCCTTCATCTTTTTCTTTCTACGTCCCTTCTTTTCTTCCTTAATCGCTTCCTTTCTTCATCCTTTCCTTCCTTTCTTCCTACCTTCATCTCTTCCTTCCTTCGTTTCTTCCTTCATCCCTCCTTCCCTTCATCTTTTTCTTTCTACGTCCCTTCTTTTCTTCCTTAATCGCTTCCTTTCTTCATCCTTTCCTTCCTTTCTTCCTACCTTCATCTCTTCCTTCCTTCGTTTCTTCCTTCATCCCTCCTTCCCTTCATCTTTTTCTTTCTACGTCCCTTCTTTTCTTCCTTAATCGCTTCCTTTCTTCATCCTTTCCTTCCTTTCTTCCTACCTTCATCTCTTCCTTCCTTCGTTTCTTCCTTCATCCCTCCTTCCCTTCATCTTTTTCTTTCTACGTCCCTTCTTTTCTTCCTTAATCGCTTCCTTTCTTCATCCTTTCCTTCCTTTCTTCCTACCTTCATCTCTTCCTTCCTTCGTTTCTTCCTTCATCTCATCCTTCCTTACTTCCTTCATCTCCTGCTTCCTTCGTTTCTTCCTTCATCCCTTCCTTCCCAAAACAAAGTGAACCCCTAGAACAAGGTGCAACACTCCCTTCTTCCTGTGATTGGAAGCCATGCTTGCCTTGTGCCTGCTCCCTCCTCCTCCTGGCTATCTACATGCATGGCCCTCCCTCCTCAAGCCTCCTCTCAGCCTTCTCTCTCTTCTGCAGGCTAAACATACACCAGCTCTTTCAGCCGCTCCTCATAGGGTTTGTTCTCCAGGCCCTAAATCCTTTGAGACACAGTATTCGGGCCTAGTGTCAACATCCCTCCCTCAGGGGGGCTTGGACTCCAACTCCCAGCATGCCTCGCAGCCTCAGGCCCCTTCCTTAAGCGGCTGAGGGGGAAAAGGAAAGGGCCTGAGGCTGGGAGGCATGCTGGGAGTTGTAGTCCAAGCCCCCCTGAGGGAGGGAAGGCCCAAGCGGGCTCTGACCTTTCCTCCGGGAGGGCGCCTCCTTCCGCATGGCTTCCGGCAGCAACACCACTCTCCCTGCCGCTTCCGGAGGAGGGCGGGGCTTCCGGGGCCCCCCCTGGGCCTTGCCCGGCCCCCTCCCGTAGCCCTCCGACGAGGAGACGCCAACGCCAACGCCGCCGCCCCGCATCCTCTCGGCCTCCTCCTCAGCGCGCGTCACTTCCGCCGCAGGCAGCACCTCCACCCCTCTCCAACTTCCGGTCGGCCGCCTCTGAGGCTTCCTCTCTGCGCTTCCCCGTCTTCCCCACCAGGGGGCGTCGCTCTCTGACCGAAGGAAGGAAGGAAGGAAGGAAGGAAGGGCTTCTGCTCCGGAAGCGGAAGGGAAAGGGAGTTGGACAGCAGTCGAGGGAAGATGGCGGAGGCTGCTCCTTCTGCTGCGGAGGAGGAGAAGGCTCCGAGCTCGGCCTCCTCTGGGCCCGTGTGCCTCCTGGTGCTGGGCATGGCCGGGTCCGGGAAGACGGCGCTCGTGCAGGTCTGCATTGCCTTCCTTCCTTCGTCTCTTCCTTCCTTCATCCACCCCTTCCTTCCTCTCTTCCTTCCTTCCTTCCTTCCTTCCTTCCTTCCTTCTTTCCTTCTTTCCTTCCTTCCTTCCTACCTACCTACCTACCTTCATCTCTTCTTTCCTTCGTTTCCTTCATCTCTTCCTTCATCTCTTCATTCCTATCTTCCTTTCTTCATCCCTTCCTTCCTTCCTTCATCTCTTCCTTCCTTCCTTCCTACATCCCTTACTGACTTCATCTCTTCCTTTCTTCATCCTTTCCTACTACCTTCATTCGTTCCTTCATCTCTTCCTTCCTTCCTCTCTTCAATCCTTTCTTTCTATCTTCCATCCTTCCTTCATCTCTTCCTTCCTTCCTTCATCTCTTCCTTTCTTCATTCTTTCCTTCCTTTCTGCATCCCTTCCTACCTTCATCCCTTCCTTCCTCTTTGTTCCTTCATCTCCTCCTTCCTTCGTTCCTTCCTTCCTTCCTTCTTTCCTTCTTTCCTATCTTCCTTCCTTCCTACCTACCTACCTACCTACCTTCATCTCTTCTTTCCTTCGTTTCCTTCATCTCTTCCTTCATCTCTTCATTCCTATCTTCCTTTCTTCATCCCTTCCTTCCTTCCTTCATCTCTTCCTTCCTTCCTTCCTACATCCCTTACTGACTTCATCTCTTCCTTTCTTCATCCTTTCCTACCTTCATTCGTTCCTTCATCTCTTCCTTCCTTCGTCTCTTCCTTCCTTCTTTCCTATCTTCCTTCCTACCTACCTACTTACCTACCTACCTTCATCTCCTCCTTCCTTCGTTTCTTCCTTCATCTCTTCCTTCGTCTCTTCCTTCCTTCCTTCCTTCTCCTTCCTTCCTTCCTTTCTTCCTTCCCTTCATCTCTTCCTTCCTTCCTTCCTTCCTTCCTTCCTTCCTACATCCCTTACTGCCTTCATCTCTTCCTTTCTTCATCCTTTCCTACTACCTTCATTCGTTCCTTCATCTCTTCCTTCCTTCCTCTCTTCAATCCTTTCTTTCTATCTTCCATCCTTCCTTCATCTCTTCCTTCCTTCCTTCATCTCTTCCTTTCTTCATTCTTTCCTTCCTTTCTTCATCCCTTCCTACCTTCATCCCTTTTGACCTACAAAACCCTAAACGGTTCCGGCCCATTGTATCTATCCGAACGGATCTCCCTCTACGTCCCACCTCGGAATCTAAGATCCTCTGGGGAGGCCCTGCTCGCGACCCCGCCTCTATCACAAGTGAGATTGGCGGGGACGGGGAGCAGGGCCTTCTCGGTGGTGGCCCCCCGCCTGTGGAACTCACTCCCCGGGGAGATTAGATCGGCAACGTCCCTTCTTTCATTTAGGAAGAGGTTGAAGACCTGGATGTGGGACCAGGCATTTGGACATTCAAAGACCTGGATGTGGGACCAGGCATTTGGACATTCTGGCAGCTAAAGAAAGACTTGATGATGAGCTGGAACTGGACAAGATGGAATGGATTTACGGAACTCCGAACGCTGAGCTCAGGATTAGCCTACTACTGTGTTTATGATGTTACTGTGTATTGATGATTTAATTTTTAATTTGTAATTGCTTAATTGTT